CGGACGCGGCCTCCAAGTCGTCTACGCCGCCGGACGCGGCCTCCAAGGTTTCTACGCCGCCGGACGCGGCCTCCAAGGTTTCTACGCCGCCAGAGTCGACCTCCAAGGTTTCTAAGCCGCCAGAGTCGGCCTCAAAGTCGTCTACGCCGCCAGCTGCGGCCTCCAAGGTCCTACGTGTTGGACGGCCTCCCGGCCGTCCTCCTGAACAATGACTCCAGGGACGGTCTCTCGACCGTTCAGATCTTTTGTGTTTTTTCCTGCTTGTGTCTTGCCTTAGTTCTTTCAGGTCCTTGTGTTCTTCCTTGTGTTTCCTCTGGCCTTCCACCCTTGCAGTGCCGCCCTCCACCCACCCAAGTCCTTCGGGAGAGGTTTTTTTTGGGGACGCCTGGAGGCGTCCTTGAGGGGGGGGTACTGTAAGGATGGTACTATTTGCTGTTTCTGTTTGTGTCTGTTTTCTCGTCAGTTTAATTGGTGTCACCTTTTTCTCGTCACAGCTGTTGTAATCACGTCTTGTCTTGTCCTTGTATATAAGCGTCCTGTCCTGTGTTGTTCCCTTGTCGGTTCGTTGTTGGGTATTGCCTGTCCTGTCCTGCCTGTGTGATCTTGTTCTTGAGTCCATGTAAGTTTTGCTGCCATGTCAGCCTTTTGAGTTATTATTATTATTATTATTAAAAGTATTTTATTTTATACATCTGCCTCCTGAGTCCTGCCTGCGCTACTGGGTTCTTCTGTCCTGATCTGCCTCGAAAACCCTGACACCCTTGGCACATGGTCCAATTCCATCAGCTATTAGAGTAGAGACTGTCAGACCCCAGCCTCCATTAAGAACTGAAAGTTCCAGTAAGACTGATTCTTCCAGTAAGACTGAGTCTCATCTTAGACTGAAAGTTCTAGGAAGACTCAGTAGTTCCAAGAAGTGTTGACTTTTAAAGGGTATCCACTTCCTATTATTTGGTACTTCCTGATTGGTTAACACAACCAGCAGGGGTGGAGTTTTAGTGATGTCAGAGGGTTATTAGGAGTCGCAGACAGCAGAAATGTTTTTAAGAACGGTTAGTACAGACAGGAAAATATTTTGAAGTGATACTCGCAGGTGCCAGTTCTTATTTACTGTCTGAGAGTTTTAAAACAAGGCACTTTGTTCTCATAACTTGTTCTCTGACTTTTGACCGACATCAAATCCACTCCAAATTCAGACAGAAGATTAAAATGCACACGTACTTTGTAAATAGACATTTAACATGTATGATCTAAGTCTAATGAGGTTTAAAAATCATTAATACTGTTTCACAGTTGATTTAAATGAGTGGTTTACTTCAACATTAGAAATGGTATGAACTAAACACACTTTTGATTATCAAAATATTGTAAAATAGTAATGATAATATAAAAAAAGAAGAGTGTTCTTTCAATTGATTAATTCAGGATACAATTAAATAGTCTCTTGATGAGATAATTTGTATTTCTGGATTCAAATCAGTGAAATAACCGTTCCTGTCCCCTGAAGGTCTTCAGAGACAGATTGTTGTCGGAGGTCTAGTTCACTACATTGTCATCATTCTTAATTAAAATCAGGTCTCTCTTGTAAATGAGTCTTTGAGGCTCAATGGGATTAACCTGTCAATATAAAGGTTGAAAAAATGCCACAAAAGCTGTTTTTGAAACTTGTTTGAATTACTTTTCAATGTTTGCCACAGAACATAGGTAATTATTTATGTTTCTATTATATTTCACTGGATATGTAATTATGGATATATGTTTATTCCACTTTTATGGATCTTCCAGTTATGGTGTTGGATTATCTGCTAAAAATGTCAAACACTTGTTGTTTGCAGTGAAACAAGTCCATCCATCTATCCATTTTCTTTACCCGCTTATTCCATTTCGGGTCACGGGGGTCGCCGGTGCCCATGTCCAACAATCACTGTGCGAGGGGCGGGGTACACCCTGGACGGGTCGCAAGTCCATCACAGGGCCACACAGAGACAAATGAGACAAACAACCATTCACTCTCTCACTCACACCTAGGGACAATTTAGAGTTACCAATCAGCCTAACATGCATGTTTTTGGACTGTGGGAGGAAACCGGAGTACCCGGAGAAAACCCACACATGCACGGAGAGAACATGCAAACTCCACCCAGAAAGGCCCCTGGACCGGGGTTTGAACCAGGGACCTGCTCGCTGAGAGGCAGCAGCTCTACCAGTAGCGCCACCATGCTGCCCGTGAAACAAGTCATATACAGATTTTTTTTAAGTAATTTGATTTTGACCTCTTTGTAAACTAAATGTCAGAATTTGGGCTAAGACTAGAAACAAGTTTCCCGCTCTGCTTGATGGTATTTGTTTGGCTGAAGTTTGTGCAATCAATCAGTGTCACCAACCCCATCTTCATGGCAGATCTTTGAACTGATGTTTCTGTGCAGAGGCTTGACCTGAAAGCAGAAGGAGACTTTACAGTTGAGAGTGTGTTACTGGTCTCTTCAGAAACTGAAAGTTTGGAGCAACAAGAGCAACAGAGGAGAAAAGGTCAGAACACTCTTTAACTTTGGTCTGTCTTTAAGTTTAAATTATGGAATCTGCACATCTCTGAATGGTGATGTCTAATTGATGCTCGACTTGCTTGTGTCTGTGGTTCAGATGGATGTGACAATCAGCTGGAACTAAAAGTAAAGAAAGAGGAAGAGGAGGATGAGGAGTCAGAAGATCAGGAGTCCACAGCATTCCAGATGAGAGATAAGGAGAACAGAGAGGAGGAGGAAGAAGAGAAGTCAGAAGCCAAACTGCAAGTTTCTCCCACCACTGACTCTTCTTTTCCTCTCGAGCAGAATCTCTCAGAGGAGGAAGTCTCTGATACTCAGTCCATGTTCTCCTCCAGGTCCAGCTCCAGAGCCTCCTCTCCCAACAGTTCCAGGTCATTTTAATTTATTTTTAATGCTCTGGCATTTATTTACTCCTCCTGTAAAACTAAACTCTTATATTATTTTTCTAGGCCCACAGCAGAGCCTCCTGCTGCTCTGAGAAAATGCCCTAGAATTCCTGCAGGTGTCTCCTATAAGACTGAAGATCACCACTCTGACTCTTCATCAGAAGAAGAGGGGGTTCAGGGAGACAGAGCAGAAGAGAGCTCCTTCTTAGAGGAGGTGCATAGCTCCTTAAAGGCTCCTCTCTATTCTCACTCACCTGACGTGGAGACTGTACTAGAGATAAAGTCAGAGGAAGAGGAGGCAGAAACAGAAGAACGAGTGGAGATGACTGTGGAATCAGACGAAGAGGAGGAGGAGACAAAAGAAATAGTAGCAATGAAGGAGGTAGCAGAGGTTAACAAGCTTGTTAACCATTACCTCTCGTATCCCTGCTCTGTTCTGAATGATCAGACCGAGGAGGAAGAGAAGGAGGCAGAGGCTCATACTAGTTCCTTGCAGGATGAAGATGCCGAAGAGGTGAAAGGCAACGAAGAAGGTGCTGACACTGAGGGGGAAGATCTAACTGTGGAGCAATTCACACATCATAGTGTAGGTGATTCTGATTATTTATGATGTTGTGATTAAAGAGGAACAAATAAAAGTATGTAATGGTGAAGTAGAACAGTACTCATCCCTTTAGTTGGCAGCTCAGAACACCACATACAGAACACCATGGACTTTGTGGATAAGGTGAGGGATGTCATCATGGAGACTGATGAAACAATTGTCTCTTTTGATGTCACATCACTCTTTACGTGCATTCCTGTTGATGATGCAGTAGAGGTGGTCAGTTTAAAATTAAAATCAGACACCACTCTGAGCAGCAGGACCACGCTTTCCACAGAACAACTGTGTCAACTCTTGAAACTGTGCCTGCAGTCAACCTACTTCACATATGGGGAGCAATATTATAGGCAGAA